GGACGTCAGCTCTTCTCTCGCCTCCGGCGTCAACCTACTGACGGCGCGGGTAGGCACCAACACCCGAGGCCAAAGCGCTTCAGCCCCCCCCCCTGTGGGAACAATGCTCCGTCCTCTCGAGGACGCGTGGTCAATGGTCTAACCGCTAAGGCATGCAAAACGTAAGAGTACGCCCTCCCCCCTCCCCCCGTAAGCCTAGCGCGCGCCCGAAAGTCCCGCCCCGCCCCCTAAAAATTCGTCCAAGAAGTTGTAATTGCCGCCTTCCCCCCGGCATCATCCAACCGCCGGCGTGTGGCACCACGGCGGGCCAATCAACCCCGCCTCGCGCTCGTGCGGGGCAATTAAGTCGATCTCCACAAACAATCCTGCAGGCAACCTCCAGGACGACGACCGATAGACACTCGTTGAACCGACAGCGACCGCAACCGGTATGTAAAGAAAAAAAAACGGTCGCCGCCGAGGCGTCGCGTTCTCTGGGACAGATCGCGGGGGGAACTAACACCAAAACCCGTGGTATACCCGTACCGGCATCCAACCAGCGAGTGTTAACCCCGCCGGTGGCGGTACGTCGTGGAGAAGGGACACTTATCCCCTGCACAACTGCGGATCCCCCCCCCCCCCCCGCTCGTCCTATTTGTTCAACTCCAGATCGATCGAGAGCTTGTTTCTTCTCCCTCCAACACAGTCTCAATCTTCATCGAGCAAAATGAGCCAAGATGGCACTGGAGCCAGGCGTCACCCGGCTGAGGGGAGAACCGGCATAAAACGAAAAAGGACCTGCTGTGGACAACAACTGCAGCACGCAGCAGCCAGGCAGAACCCTAGGCGTTAGAAAAGAGCCAGTTCAGGACCGGGTCGATTTCGTAGCCCACCTCCTTGAAGGCCTTGTCGCAGTCTGCGATGGCGAAGCCTGCCGGGGGGGGGGCACGCGGATAGGGCCGGCGGATGTCACACCCACCAAAAACACACGTGTCAGCTGTTGTTGTCTTAACCACAGTCAAAATCGTTCAAAAATAACCTTCGGAGATATTCCTTCCTTGTGCAGTTCTTTGTACATCCACCACCACCACCACCACCTACGCTACAGTAGTGGCGTTCCCGATATAAACCGTACCGCGGTCCCGAATAGCGCGGTTCCAGGTATCTATATATCGCGGTAAAAACTCCTTGGCACAACAACGCGCTCTCTGTATCTGTCTGTCTCTGTTTGTCTGTCTCTGTCTCTCTCTCCACCCCCCCCTCTCTCACCCATGTCCACAAGCTGCGCGTACAACTGGTCCCTCTTCTCCGCCGACAGCGCCGCGGGCACCTTCTTTTTCTGCCCCCCCCGCGCGCCTCCGCCAAGCCCGCCCCCCGCCGCCGACGCCGCCGGTGTCGGACCCATCAGATTCGCCGGCACGGCAGTCTTCTTCGCACCCCCGTCGCCCGCCGCCGCGGTAGCGTCTCCCCAAGGCTTCTTCTTCGACCTGACGGGTCCTCCCGGCACCGCCGGCGCAGCTGCTGCTGCTGCCGACGACGACGACTCGTTTCCCCACCCACTCGCGGAAGCGGAGGAGGCCGTTGCTGCTGCTGCTGCTGCTGTGTCGTCGTCGTCGCCCCATCCGCCGCCGCCGCCGCCCGCAGCACCGCCGTTGTCGACTGGTGCGCTATCGCCGCTGTCTCCCCATCCGGACCCGCCATCGTTGTCGCCCTGGCCGCCGCCCCATCCCCCGCCGCCGCTCGCGGCGGGGGCGGAGGTGCTAGCGGCAGCGGCGGCAGTGCCACCGCTGTCGCCCTGGCCGCTGCTGGTACTGTCTCCCCAACCGCCGCCGCCGCCGCCACCGGCAGCAGCGGTGTTGCCGCTGTCTCCCCACCCGGACCCGCCGCCGCCTTCGTTGTTGCTGCTGCTGTCGCCACCCCACCCCGACGCCGGCGCCGCCGGCGCCGGCGCTCCCGCTGCCTTCGGTGCTGCTGCCGGTGCTGCCGAAGGCGCGTCCGAGGACAACTCGTTGCCGCCCCAACCCCCACCACCCGCAGACTCCTGCTGCGGCTCCTGGTCTCCCCACCCCGAAGCCGGGACCGGCGCTGCCGGCGCTGGCGCTGGCGCGTCCCCCCACCCATCGGTCGGGGGAGGCGGGGGTGGGGGCGGGGGGGCCTGCTGTTGACCACTAGCGGCCGTCCCTGCCGCGTCCCAGCCGCTGCTAGGCGGGTTCGAAGGAGGGGGAGGGGGGGGGGGCGGCGGCGGCTGCTGCTGCTGCACCTGCTGCTGTCCGCCTCCGGCGGCGGCGGGGGGCTGGAACGGAGGTGCCTGCGACCACAGGGTCGGTGGCGGGGTCGGCGGCGGCGGCGGCTGCTGCTGCTGCTGCTGCTGCGTAAACCCGGCCCCAGCGGCGGCGGAGGGCGTAGACATGCTGAACACCGGAGCGGCGGAAGACAGAGTCGGGCTACTCCTCGCCGCCGGCACCAATCCCGGCGCCGCCGCACTAACGCTACCGCCGCCGTTGGAGGCGTTTCCGTAAGCGTTTGCCGCTGCCGCTCCGCCGAGCACGTGGACACTGTAAGCGGGCACAGCGGCGGAGGGAGCGACGGTGGGGGGAGGGGCGAGGCCGGCGGCGGGGGCGGCCTTCATTGTGAAAGAGCAACCCTCGGGAAGCCTAGCGCGCCCACCAATCGGCTGGTA